GGTAGTTACTATCGGAAGTTTACGGAACTTAGGTTGAAATGAAAGACTATTGCCCATGATGGATACATAGTTGGTGTGAAGCTTCTAAACGGATATGCCCTTATTTTGTGCTGCTAAGCATTAGAAGTTTCGGTATAATATGTATGGATTGGCAAATCAAATGGTGGTGTGAAATTAGAAAATTATTTTATATCCTTCTTGTCAAAGTTCTAATGAATATTTTAGGCAAGGGAAATAACAAGAATTTTGACAAAATGCAAGTGAAATTATTTAATTCATCATTCACACATTTTCACCTCAATTTAGGAGCTGGGAACAGTTAAAAATTCTTCTATTAAATTTAAAAAAATAACACATCCTTGAGTTACCATTTGAACATTTTATTCCCCTATCAGTACATGTCATTTCTGAAAAAATACTCCCTCTCCCTGACAGCAGTATATACTAATATTAATATAAATATGAAAAGTCCCAATATTACACTGACACTATACCACAGCAAAATCATTTCTGTTCATGACTAATTATACAATATCCCCTTTCCAAGCCGCAAACTATTAAACCAAAGTTCCCATTAATTCAGAACTCTTACACCTAACTATAATTTTGATTGGATTCCCAGTAGAATAATTTAGGCCCTGCCTGGGAGTGAAGAGTGGGACGAGTTGTTTTATAGAACAACATTGAGGACCTAAGGATTTAAACTGTTTTATACTGAGACACGGACTTCTCATGCCTTATCATGGAAGCGCCCTCGCATTATTACATAATTACAATGTGTGTGTGCTTGCATAGGCATGCTTTACATGAAGGCATTAAACAACTATCCATTGTCTGCCAAAAATATTTTCCTGAACACAGATTTGGACCCGCCAGCCTGTAGCCTTGCCAGACATGCATAGGTTGAATTAAATGACATGCTGCATTGAATTAAATAATCATTGATCAGGCCCAAGTTGTTCAAAAGGTGGATAATGTTATCCAACTGGTAAATCACTTTATCCAGTGGGTAAGTGTTGACAAAACCAACTGTGTTATTCACTGGGTATGGATTTATGCATTGAATAGTGCTGTCCGCCCTTTAAATAACTGGGGCCAGATCAGCACATACAAAATATTTATACAAGGCGTACGATATTCAGCATCTTTTTACCAAGGGGCCATATTATTATCATGTACTTGGACTTGCATAGTTATAAAGCTTGTGAGAGTATACGTGTATTATCCTTGCATTTTGGTAATTTATAGTGAGTTGGCCGAGTTGTTCAAAAGCCAGATATAATCCGAAATTAAAAGTTCACCCAGGCTAAGGAACAAGTAATTTTGTGTTTCAAAGAAATATTAATTTTTTATCCCTGCTAAGTTGTACTTTGAAAGTGTCTAATTTTGATTACCGGTCACCTCGCCACAAGGAAGTCTCGCCACCAAGCGAATTCTCCTCGCCACTAAAATAATTATTAACGATCTAATACCATTAAACTGAAATTTCGTTCTACTTTGTTTAGTTGTATAACCCACACAGCTCGTGTAAGGTTGAAGTTATTTGATTGTTCAGCCGGAGCCTTTAATGAAACACTTACGTAAGCTTAAATGCAAATGCAAGATCGGCAAAGCAACTGAGCAATAACAGAACAGTCAGTTCTCAAAGAAATATACCTGTAGCTGAATTCTAGAAAGCTATGGTTTCTTGTTAGACAATGAAACACATATATCACATCACCGACAACATATTGACATCGAAATTTGCAAACAGACAAGCTAACAAACTTACGAGTTGATTAACACTGTAGTCGCTCAAACAGCTAATACACCTTGACCACTTTACTCTAGTTTATCTTTCTCTTGGTGTCTGGTGGCGATGAGACTTCTCTTGGTGGCAAGTTCGTTTGTGGCGAAGTTCCCTGGTGGCGAGGTGACCAGATACCCAATTTTTTTAGTAATTAAAAGTAAATGTTCTCCCCAACAAAGTCAACACAATAAATTATTGATTACTTATAACTTACTTTGAAGTTGTTCCTTGGCCTTGATTGGCCTTTAATTGATAATAATTTGTATCACTGGAGCCAAATAATATTTAATGCATTGCCATTCACAAATAGGAAATTCAAAATACTATAGATACCTAAAAATATTGTTTACATCTTGCACAGAAAAGTTCAACTTGTTATCATAAATATGTGAATAACAAAGACATTGAAACCAATATTTGTACTCCAGAAATATTTGAACGAGCAGCCTCCTTGAAGTTGGAAAAGAGGATTTCATGCATGTTTGGTCTGAGTGAAGACAACCTTTCACGTCAGTGCAAGATGTTGACTAGCTCAAGAAGCTATAGAGAATTTTCACATGACGTCACGTGGCAGTCATATTGGTGTACCACTACAGTGAAACAGCAGCCACGTTGGTACACATGTATACCAAACCAATCCTGTGAGAGTTGAACTCCTTTCTTTTGTAAGTTACACTTTCTTTTGTTCCAATTAATTTGCATGGCTAAGTACTGGCCACGTGAGTGAAAAATGATCTATAACTAGATCAAAGAGGTAGCATTTTGCACTGCAGCAAAACAATAACTTGTTACTAGTTAACAAGCCTTAATTTAGAAATTTTTAATTACTGAGTTTTTTTCTGTTATAAGACACTAATAAGCTTAATCTCTGGTCTGTGTGTACAAATGTACAATAATCTATATAATTATGATATTCAAGATGAACGAGGAAAATTGATTACTATATTTTTACTCTAATATTTATGTAACTATTATTCAACAATAACAATGTCTTAATTTACTATTCATTAGGATACCCCTCATTAGAACTACATTTTGTGTGTATTATTTCATCTCAGAATTATTGATTGTTTTTTAATTAATTTTTAAAAGCCTGATGCAGACCTCAATGACATTAATTACATTTTCTCAAACGTGTATCAGTTCAATTGCTGCAACTAAGTCACATCAAACATTACTTACATTCATTTGGTGATTTTTTTCTTCTCACAATTTTTATTTGTTTTGGAACATAAAGATTTCACTCATTAACAATCATCCTGATGGTCTTCGCTATAAAAGTATTAATTATGTTCTTCCCCAATCAAAAATTCTATAACTTATTTTTTTATAGTTAACACAGCAACAACAGAAAACCTGAGGTTGATTTGAGATAGAAGTATTTTCATCACAGCATATCTTTTAAATATCTTTGAAATGAATTACTCAATAATTATTATTCTATAGAATTAATAAATTTAGTAATTGCAGTATAATATTTTTCTTACGTATATAAGAAACCAATGCCATGTCAGCAACTACCTGACACCTGTCACAAAAACTTGACATGAATGTGACACCGTTGTGAACCCAGGAATAAGGTTCTGTTCTCTGGGTTGGCTGTCTGGAAAATCTTGCTCAGTTGACTCACTGTACCATTTGCACTTCATAAATTTACCAACCTGAAATGAATGAAAAAAATATTTATTTAGTGTTTTATGCTAGTAGCATGCTAGTACAATCTAACTACTTGGTAATGTTTGGTAAAATTCATTTATTAATTCACTATTAATCGAATTTTAGTTGATTTTGAAAATGATTACAAAAATATAGTTACCAAGCTTGTCCCTTTATAAGCATGATGTCATGCATACTAATTTACAGTCAAACCAAATCAAGCATTCCTCCTCAAAAATAAGAAAAATTGATATGTTCATTCTTTGTTTCAATGCATCATCATCATTATATCGCGGGGGGGGGGGCCTCCCATATAATAATGACCCGGGTATGCTCGTTGTACCTTTCAGGGGCTAACAATGTGGCTTTGGCACTTCTCAGGGTGTTGAGCCTCAAAAGGTCTACAGCAGGAGCTTATGCAGTACCTTTTAGGGTATTGAGCCAAAAAAATGTGACAGGGTTTATGTAGGAATTGGTACCTCTTAGAGGTGAAAACAATTTCAAGCCACACCCACAAAACAGGATCTTGGTTCTTTTCAAAAATTTTCAACAGGCAGCCCATCTTTTTGATATGGGATTCCACTCCCCCTCTCCCCCCCCCCCGGGCATTATATGTGTCGGCACATAAGGTTGCTTTCTTTTAGTCACTACTCATTTTCTTTTTCAAACTCTTTTCAATGCTAACACCTTTCTCTGTTTGACATTCCAAACCAAAGGACACTGGTCACTAACGGCTACATTACAATTCATCAATACTTACACGAAATGGTGAAATGACAAAATGTACTACAATTAGCCTAAATAGCTCTCTGGTTAGCCTACATTTGTAAATATGGTGTTCAGGGTGGCCTAAATATCACTGACTTGAAGGTAGGTAGTGCTCAATAAGTAAGTAATAAGTTAACCGTATCCCACATTGTTAAGTGCCATTTCATCATTTTGCCATTTCTGGTTTTAAACATGCCCTTGAAGAAACTTTTGTTAGTTGCTGTGTGCTCTGCCTACCTCATGTAGTCCTTCTTGCACTGCTAAAAACTCCACATTTACTGTCACTGAAGATCCCGATGGACAACATCTGTCACAGATGAGGACATGGTTATTAAAACAAAACTGCAACTGCTTATTATACAGGGTGTGTAACTATGAAGATTGTTAATAAACAGTTACAAGTTAAATGACTGTGAAAATTTCTAATCAATGAGAATGGCTCAGAGTAGGTAAATGTATCATTAATTAATAACTTGAAATGTCAAACCTGGCTTATTTAAGTAAAAAAAGGTANAGTACCTGTAAGTGGTGTTTATTGTTTGATATCGTTCCTTGAGTGTTTCAACACCCCAAGTTATTGATCCTTTAAGTGCCACTTCCAGTTGCTGAAAAAGAAAATATCGTGATCATTTTCATGCAAACATACATAACGCATACATGTAATTATGTCAAAAGATAATAACTTGTTATGTACCAGAAATGAAGCTGAGACACAATCCACAAACCCTAACAGACTAGAGGGCACACTGCAGTCTGGTTTGGAACTTTTTTGCACCTCATGGGTAAACAGTGATGATGGCAAAGTCAGTAACCCCTACTAACACATGCGTGTACATGTAACAATATATTTTATCTCGGTAGCAAAATCAATGTGATATCTTCTAGTTCTGTTCATGATTTTATTTATTTTCATCACCCAGACTGCTAAATTAGCATTGTGAAAAGGTCCCGCACTGCAAGCAAAAACCACCCAGGCATCTAAGTCATGCTCTTGGCTGGCTACAATAAAAACCCATGGGTAAGAACCTACATGCAGTGGTTTAAAAACCAAGCAAGATCAAGCAGGTTCTTATATGTGAGTTACAGTTAAATTATGAACTCTTGTTATACAGGTAACACTACATAATATTACCAAGCTATAATCAGTTGTGTTAAGCTCATCATGTTGTGAACAAATACTGTACATTTACAGACCAAACCCAAGTTTATTAATTTGTCTGCTTATCAACAACTATATCTCCTCCATAGAAATTAAGACCCTACTTACATGTAGTCTAAATTGCCAATAAGTATCCCAAATTACAATAACATACTTTGGGAGACTTCAAACAGTGTAGGTTCTTACACTTGGGTTTTTACTACACTGAACATGTACTCTACTGGGCTATTCAATCTCCGACTAATTCCTTAGAAATAGAGGGCAAAATCAGTCACCCACCCCAGCAGTAAAGCTGCCTATTTCACAACTTCGTGACAACCTTACAAGATGATGGTATTGCAAGCAATAATAGTGGTAAGGAGAAGTGTATGTGAAGAAGTCTTAGTTTGAATAAACCTCATGCCACACTTTATAATTTTAGTATAATTAATACCTTGTTAAAAGCCATCTGGTTCTCGTGATAGATGATTCTGAATAGAAATGCATAGTGCTCCCATGGTCTGAGAAGAATTGGATGTTCACTTGATAAATTTTCACTGGCTGTGACTGGGAAAACGTCTAAACAGGAAAACCTGCAAAAGCAAAATAGAAAAAAATAGTTAATATGCAAATAGAAGTTTAAAAAAGCTTTGAACTGTCAATTGATATTATTTTGTTTCTACGTATCATCATAGAAAAGAATTATCATCAGGGCTCGAAAAAAGGGTCACCCGGTTGTCTGGGACAAACTTGTAGACTTTCTTGCTAGGTAGGTTACTTTTCATTCTCACTTGCCTGATGGGCAAGGACTCAAGCAAGTCATCTGTCAACTAAATAAGAAAAAAGTAAACTTACAAATAAAAGCTGCTTGTCCAAAGGGCAAGCTGCAACTCAAGTTTTTTGTCAAGCCCTGATTATGTTATTTGACATAGTCTTGTGATAAGATGATACCCTTAAACATTTAACTTATCCACGAATAAACCAAATGAATATTATTTACTTTTTGTAAGCAAAGTACAGTTCCATGGGACCCAGAGAATTGTTTAATTGATTTAGTTCTGCACATGAAAATCAATAAGAACAGGAAAGTAAATTAAAAGTCATACAATGTACTGTACCTTGGTTTTGAGTCCTGTTTCAAGTGACCTAGACTGTGGATCATGTTCTTTACATTTTCCACAGCTACATCAGTGCTAGTGTGTATAGCAACTTCATTAAGATGGACTGATTTACCCAAAATGTTGATAACTGGAATTGAAGAAAAAAAATCAATCTCTAACTTGAAGAAAACAAAAAGAAACTGAACAAATGGGATCCACACAAAAATCAGTAAGACTAAAAGCAAAATGTTGTTTTCGCTGACTGAGCTATGCGAAAGATCAACAAGAAAGAAAGTTCTTGCGCATGGTAAGGAATACTTGTAACTAGAATTAGAGAAGACAAAAATCCATCTCTAACAAAAAGAAACTGAACAAGTGGGATCCACACAAAAACTAGTCACACTAAAAGGAAAATGTTCTAACTTTTAGTTGACTGAGCCATGCAAAGAGATAAGAAAGAAATTTCTTGTGCATGGCATTGAATACAACTGTAAGAGAGCACTCAACAAAAGACCATTTTACAGTTGTCTGCTTGGCAACCTGGCCTTTGAATGGCAGCGAGGCTGGAGGTGACCTTGCTTTAATAAAGACCTCTCTACTTTTGTCATGTAAATGCACCTAGTTAGCATTAGAACAACTTTATTTACACAACAAAAACAGTGAGGTCTGTATCAAAACAAGGACACCTCCAGCCTCGCTGCCTTTCAAAGGCCAGGTCACTAAGCAGACAACTGTAAAATGGTCTATTGAAATCTGCTCTATACAAACCTCACCTTCAATGCAAAGAAAATGCTTGCCAGCCACTTGAAAATACTTGCAGCGAAGTGTTGGAGGAGTTATAACTGGAAGAGTAGCATTCACTGCAAATCAAACAACAATAATATAAAGAACTTGATTGACAACAGCTTGATGGTACACTCTTTCCAATAATTTAAGAGATTACTTTTACATACTAACAGGACTAAATGTGAAAGGATGTTCAAGAATGTGGAGTATATAATTCTATTTTGGCTTAACTAGTCCAATAACCTTAACACTGTTGGGCAAATGGATCTATTTACCAAGGAATTTCATGCATTGCACAAAATAAAACACTTATCAATGAATGAACAAAGTAAAGTCTTTATAACATCATTTTATTGTGGACAACAACTACATGTATGAATAAATGTAAGTTCTACTTGAGAACTTGAATACAGTGCAATCTTGAATGATCTAACACACTTTAAACTTCTGAAGATAATAAATAAACTAGCCATTTCATTAATAATTAATGAAAAATCAACACATGGATTGGCCTTTTTTCAATGAATATGTCACAAACATTTAATGACCCACATTCATTTGGAACTGAGTTAACCAATAGACAACAGCCAGAAGAAGGTCGACCATCACCTGGGAGATACTGTTGTGACTTAACTTACCTATACACCGCCATGCATTCTTTGATTCTTCCATAAGATCATCTGGATCATGGTGTACTAAATATCGTTTAAAGTCAATATTGTGAGTAGCTTCTGTTTCATGAAGGATGTTTAATTCAGGTGTCCAGACATTCACAGACAAACGCATTCTTCTGGTCAATGCTGGCAATGAGTCGAGCACAACATTCAGAGGATAAATGATATCTCCCCGAGTTGTAATTTTTGGCTCAATCTGTTATAAAGAGTTCAGAAACTTGTTAATAATTCATAACTGAAATACAACAGAAATGAATGTTTAATGAGTGTCTTTAAATTTGATAAAGACACCGCTAAATTTTGCAGCCAATTTTCTCTAGAAAAATAATAATAAACCCAAAGATTATTCTATAAATGAGTAGATCTACCACAAACACTTTTGAAGCTGTTCAAAAAACTTGCAGCATGTGTTTTATCAGTTTTAAAACACTCGGCTACGCTTCGTGTTTGAAATCCGATAAAACACCGCTGCTCGTTTTTTTAACATTACACATGTACATAACATACAGTATTTATAATCAACTGTCAAACATTATAATGTCATCATTGTTTACGGGTTTAACTGTAGTTTACATGTCTACATCCTTGCACCCTTCAAAAAATGGCAGAAACTGACAACTTTAATGATACATGCCCATAATAATTTTTATTTATGTAGTCTCTCTTCCATCGTTTTAAAGAGAGTATAGGCAGGGTTTTCAATAAGTTTTGAAATAGCCGTCTGAGCTAAATAAAGTAGGTGGCAAACTGATGAATTTTTAAAATAATTTGAGTGTGAATAACAGACAAAGTCGGTGGCGGTAAGAGGTAAATTCTGAGAAAGTAAGCAGCGATTTTCGCTGGTTGCCGGCTTCTAATGAAACCCCTCATATAGGGGTCATATCTTCATACTCCCTAGAGTGAAAACTGAACGGTTAAGACAGCCTTTTGTAAATTGATGTCTTTTTAGATATATTTCTTAATATCTTTTTATGACTGGTTTTCAGCTAAGTTTATTATTGATTGTAACGTCACACATATATTGTGCCCGATCTTTCAATAAAGACTTTTCATCCAAAGTGGTCATAATAACAAGGTGGCCGTATTAATGGGGTGGCTGTAAAGGTTCTATTGTACCTCAATATTAACAGCTGAAATTTCCATACTTCCTTTTAGAAGTCATTGAGATCATCTTTCCAATATCAATGATTAATATAGGCACCCACTTGAGAATCTTATCAATCCCTCTCTGTTTTCAATATCTGGCAAAACTATATTTTAAAACTTAATATCGCACCTTGGCACTGCATTAATTTTCTGACTTTAATATTAACATTATCACAATAAATGTTATTCAAAGGGAGGATAAAACTAAATATATCCCCTGTATAAATCACTCTCCAGTGGATAGGATATGTAGTTGGTTTTGTCAGCATCTATTAGGGACTGATTCATCTGGTGAATATATACATGTACTTGTATATGGCATTACCCTTCAAACAACCAGACCCTGCTATTCACATCAGCTACATGATCTGAAAGATTATGTTTAGGCAAAATTGGGAGAAATTTCAATCGAGAAAATGTTATCCACCACTGTAATAATTGCATTCATGAATTCGACTTTTTTTTAGACTTTCTTTCAAACGAGAATGGTGTGTAATGATTAACAATAGAGCAACAAAATGTATCAAAAATTGGTTTATAGTGATTTCCTTCCCAAGATTTGGCCAGAGATCGCGCTCCGCAAAAAAAGAGAAACAATCATAGTAAAATCAACAGTGTTAGTTATACATGTACCATAAAACATTAACAAAATAGATTTTAAAACTACTTTAAATTGTTGCACACTAACCAACAGTTAAAATGGCAAACATATCACATTTCGTCTCAAAAATGGTCAAATAAGTTATCGTTTTAATAAATTATAGGAATTTTAACCTCATTTTGCGCACACAAACTGGTAGACACAGAATTGCTTAGAAAATGGTTCCAAAGCCAAATTATTAATGCTAAAGAGATTAAGGCTACCTTTTTTCGCAAGTCATCATCTTTTCCCTTCACTTTCGAAGAGTTAATAGGCCAGCAAGTAATAAGTCCGCCTGCATGTGCGTCATCCTTTCTGCTCATTAAATCAATGCTGCTCACACTAACAGACATACACACATGCAGCAGGCGTTTTTTCCATGCTTGGAAATTGGCATCTTCTCGATTCCTTCCTCGAAACTGAGCGATCAGAAAAAAGCATAGGCGCTCTCCGGCGTAGCATGAATTCCTCGAGCCTAGCTCTATGTCTGATACAGGATCATTCGTGAAAACCTGAGGCAGAAAGATCAAAAAGTTGCTGTCTAGTTCTTTGCCCGCCATGAAAACCGGGTCGCCATCTTTTCTAATGAATGAGTAACTATATCATGTATGGTGATTTGCCATGTCCCCATGACGAACGTAGTCGTACCCAGTCCCTGTAGTCGACCTTCGTCCTCACTAAAGATTATTTTCATGTGACGTCATCATTTTCTAAAATCGAAAACTAAAGAGCCACCGAAGTTTTTATGTCCATCAGGCATAAGAGGGGGTAAATTTGTATCTGTTCACAATGTTACAGCTCAATTGTGTGCTTCGTTTGAAAACCAGCGTATTTTACATTTCAGAGTTATGGCGGTGCGTGACACAAAGCTACAATTGCATTTGTCGAAAAATATATACCTGTCTCATGATTTTTAGCTTTTTTAGAACTTAGATCATTAGGAAAAGTGCTTATGTAAATGTTTGTTTGTTCAGTACAGATAATCAGTCGCCTAGATAGCCAAAGTAAGTTCCAGATGTTTACACTATTTCCGATCACAATTTCTTGTTAACTTATTAATTTTTGTCTACTTATTATTCAACTTGCTTTTGTAATCATTCAACTGAAGATGACAGAAGTTCTGTCGAAACATGTCTTGTAAACTTAAAAGATTGGTCGTTTTCCTTAAAATTATCTACTATTGCATTGCGCATCCCTACTGCACACGAGTCATTAGCGCGCACATGAGCGCTTGCGCGTACAAAACGAGATTTCCCTCAAACTAAGCTCGATAGCGAAATAAATGCTCCTTTTCTCTTAAACGAGCACGGTGACCCCCACTTTTTATTTATAATCGCAATGAGAACTATATCCTTAGTAACTGAGAAAAAAAATTAGTAGAAATCTATGGCTACTTTTTCGGCAAATGAAATAAATACTACAGAGGGAGACATAACGGACCCAACGACGTCCAAATTATGTTTCCTTTAAAGGATAAAAAAAAAAGCTCGGGGTAATTGAAGACATTTTTTCTGGGACGTAGATGAATAAACAAAGAAAGAAAGTCAAACTGTGTGTGTCAACACGCTGCATTGAAAAATAATCGAGCTTATTTGTTGCGCACGGAGATTACCAAAAGTCACCTAAATAACCGTATTTGTCAGCATTGTGGCGTGAAAACAAGCACGGTGACCCCCTCTTTTTACTACGTTTTTAATATCACCTTGTCCTGTAACAACAGCATACCAAGTTTCATCGGAAATCTATGGCGGGTTCTTTTACTAGGGAATCACCTTAAAAGGTACATTCTGGAAAACGCTAACGCAAAAGCGTGTCTGAAATCACATCTGGAGCAAGGAAACATGCCGGAAAACATTCAAGATGCGACCGCCAGACCGTCAAGTTGTCAACTGTAAATAAACTTTTCGAGGACAACTCTTAAAGACAAGCTAATCGAAGGAATCTAGCTACTGCTCACAGTTTAAATTTATTTTGTTCATAAAGGTTTATACAAATCTGTCCATAAAAATATATAAAATTGCTCAGTAATATATAATTTCTGGACGAAATATAACTCCAGAAAAATTTTACAACTCTTTATGAAAAGTTTATATACGTCTCTGGGGCAAATGCGAGAAAAAGACCCAATTATAAAATATAACTTTCGCGCTTTTCGAAACTATCACACAGTTTAGTAAAAGAGTACACTTGAACATGAGTCCTCATCATCAAAAACAAACTTGTGTTCTTCTACATTGTTGGAATTTGTGTGACTGCTGCCATTTAACAAACAAGTGTTTGTGTCGACTGGATGAATCTCGGAAAACTCTTCCTCAATGTCAATGTCATCCTCAACAATTTCAGCGTCTTGTTTCATTTCCTCCAACTGTGTGATATCACCGTAGAAGTTTATTCCTTGGAAAAGGCTCCTGCGCACCGCAAACCGTTTTAACTCCGATTCCAAGGGAGCATGGAAACGACCGTTTCTGCGCACGCGCAATTTTCCAGTTTTCCGGCAGCAGCGAGAAAACCTGGCCAAAAATACTACCAGCAAAAATATAAACAAGGCTACAAAGACTGATCCGATAAACACGAATATTATGAACACGATCTTTTTCCTCTCATGTTTGGAATTCTTTGATGGCGTCGAAGGAGACGTGAAGGGAGCTGTCGGAGTTACGGATGGCCTCGAGATCTCTCTTAATTCAAACGCTACAAATTTCGTTCCGTTGTATGTAAATACGAATGATCCGTTTTTTATTACTGCCCAAAGTTCGCTTGTCAAGTTTCTGCCACGCGCGCTTTTGATCACGAAAAGAACATCTACAGAACCGCAGATTACTTCATGAACTATGACGTCAGACTTTGAGATCTGTAGCAGATAGGTCAGTGCGGTTATGAAACTAGCTTTGAAATCATCCTCGTTTGTGATGGCGCTACAATTAGCGTGGAACTTTACCAGAAACGTTTCATTGACTACCGGTGAAGCTGCACTTGGCTTTGAAGAAGACGATTCCAATGTGTGCAGGTTGTTGGGAGGGGCAACTTTTGTTCCAGTGTAAGACAAATTGCCGAGTGTTTCGCTCGAACGAGGAGATGATTTTGTTCCAAGGGAGGTTAACAATAAAGAAGAGAGTGTAGTTCTTTGCGGCATAAGGGACGTTTTTGTGTTCAATGCTTGATGCGGAAGCGTAGAGAAGCGCGAAAGTGAAGGTTGAAACTTTGATGTGGTTGTTACCAATGACGACGACAATGATGATAATGAGGAAAATGAAGACCGTAACAACGGCAAAGGTGATATTTTTGCTGTCATTGATGTAGACACTGACTTTAAGGATACTGGTGGTAAAGAAGCAGTTAATGACAACTGCAATGACAAAGGCAACGGTGAGAGTGTTGGAGAAGAAGGTTTTGGTACTGCTGCTGGACTGATGAGTGTCGTTGCTGGTCTGGTCTTTGTTGTTGTTGAGGATGCTGACGATGACGATGACGATGTTGATAAAAACAACGATAAGTCTGTTGTTTGCAATGAAGTTAACGTCGACAAAGATGCTGTTGTTATTCGTAATGTGTCCTGAAATGTTGTTGACGGCAACGATGACAAAGGTAATGGCAGTGACTCAACTGTGGATTTTAATTTTGATTCTTTAGATGATAAGGGCCACAGCCGTAATGGCGATGTCAATGCACGTGACACTGACGTCACTGATGAGTGTGACGTAGATTGTACAGGTGACTTTTGTGTCGACAACAAAGCACTTGTCACGGAAAATGTCACAGGTAATGACAAAGTTGAAGGTTTTGGTTGAGCAGAGGGTAATAACAGCCGACTTGAATTTGATGGTAATACAGAAAGTGATAACCGAGGTGAAGCAGGAATGGGTACGGCCACCGTGTCTTTCAGTGTTGATGACGAGGACAACGATGATGAAGACGAACGCAGCTCCAAAGACAGTGAAGGCAAAACCAACGAAGATGAAGATGGTACTGGTGAGGAGGAGAGGGTGCTGATCATGATGGAGGGAGAGGATGAAGACGAGTACGACAAAGTTGATGTCAATAATAATGTTATCTTTGACATAAGGGACAATGAAGACGACTTCAAGTTCTCTTTTAATCCAGATACCAGCACAAAAGAGGTAGCTTCTACACGACTCTTGCTGCCTTTACTCGACGATGAGTAGCGTAGAATTCCTGTTTTGTACCAAAGGGGATTGGTGAGTGAAGACCTTAAAAGGCTTGTCGCGAGGGAAGCAGCACTCACTCCCATTATAATTTTATTCTGTCCACTTGAGATTTCTCCTGAAGCCGAATCTAATGCTGATGAGCTCTTTGACAAATGCGGAAACTTCGAAGGCGTTATAACAGACCGTTGTAGCGTTTTAGACTGTAGAGAATCAGACGAGAGCTTTGAAGAAAACAAGGAAGATTTTCCCAGTTCATGGGAAGAGTTGGTTGACTTCGAAGACGCCTTGTTTTGCGTTTCATCGGTTGCCATGGGCACTGACTTATCCAGCATGTAGTACGTTAAACTAACAAGGGGCGCTGAAGTTTTTTCGGATTTCTCCATGTCAGTGATTCGGTATGTTGAAGTAATAGTGCTTGACATTTTCGTCGATGTGCGATTACTCGGTTGTCGTGTCCCCAGCACCGGTGAATATGCTATCACGGGCGTTGTCGATGTGGAAAGCTTCTTCGTCAAATATCCCGTTACATTGCCTTCTTTGACATTGGAAGTTTGCGTTGACAAATCGTTGGATGACTGAGTGTTGTGTAATGGCGAAACGATGGTTGACAGGTACACCGTGGTCCGAGAAATGGAGGCAGTAGACTTATGAAAAGAAGCTGTGAAGATTCCAGTAGCTTTACCTTTGGAATAACTCTCCGTGGAGTGCCAAAACGATTCAGTGGAAAATGCAGCAAATGTACGAATGCGCTCAGATGAAATTTTCGTGTCTTCTGAGGATATACCTTCCTTGTCAACCAATAAAGACTTCGAGCAGGGAGATGTGAAAGGTAACGCGGACAGTGACATCGACTCCACCATGGTCAGGAGAGATTTGGCGGAGGGCATCGCTGCGGTTTCAGTGAGAAAACTCGAGGTGAAAACACCAACAGTTCTTTCTTGAAGGCTACCTATGCCAATGTTGCTTGTTTTTAATGACGCCATTTCTGAACTTTTTTCATCTTGACTTACACTGTTTGAAAGCGTTCTCGATGTGACCAAGCGTTGCTCAGATGTGCTCACCGAGTTTTGTACACCAACATGAGATGTTTCCTTCACTTTCATCAGAGGCGTAGGAGAGACTGGTCCAATATCTGCAAGATGAATTTTTGTTTTATTGTGAGCAGTGCATATATCTTTTACGTAACTTATCAGTAGGTTCTCAACCTGTAGGAGCAGGGCTGACCAGTTGGTTGCACCGACTGCCTTGGTATGTGTAAACGAGACTCAGCAAACAGCAAAAAGGAAAAACCCGAGTTTGGTCCAAATGTGCAATTCAGCGAATGTGTCTTCGACCATCACAAAACAACAGTAAGGAGTAGCAATAGGCCACGTTCGACATACCAATATTCTAACACGGCTCCGAGGCTTTCAGGACACATTTCTGTACTTGGTGGTGTTTTCTTTGTATCCAAGTCTCTTTTGGTAATTGAGAGACTAAAGAAACTTTAAAAAATTACAATTTTTACACCCGAAAGCCTCGGAGCCATGTTAGAATATTGATATATCGAACGTGGCTTATTAAAAGCGTACACAAGGTACTGCAATGGGACAAAATAAGGAAGGGGAAAAATATCTTGCAAGTGTGTTACACCCTGTCTAGTCCCCAGGCCGCCCGGGCTTGATGGTTAGGCGACATGCCCACAACGCCACGCGCACCGCGATCCAACGCCTGCACCTCAGGGGAGGAAACCGCGTCACACTCGCTAACAAGGCCCCGTCCCACACTACGCCCGAGAAATGTGAAAACGCAGCTTTATTTCTACGGTTAGGCCTACCGTCCACACTAATCCGTCACGAAAACGAAGCTTTTCGAAAACGCTATTCAAACCGGTGGAATTTGAAAACGCCNGCTTTATTTCTACGGTTAGGCCTACCGTCCACACTAATCCGTCACGAAAACGAAGCTTTTCGAAAACGCTATTCAAACCGGTGGAATTTGAAAACGCCGGCTTTGCGTCTTAATGTGGACGGAAAACATTTTGAGAGCGGAGCTTTTCGAAAATGATGGCGTTACGAAAATCTTTTTATTTCCCTACCCGAGTTTTCCGAGTTTTCGTGGCGGTGCGTTTTAAAGTCCTCTGTTATTTTAATTTATAAGACCTGATTTGGGGTTTCAGTGATGCTGAAT